CATGCATAATTATGCATGAATTATATATAATTATGCATGAACAATGTTTCAATGAAAATAATGTTAGACTATTAAAACAAATCATTGTTATATTTTGATGGAAATTAATTGGAAATTTCGTTTGTAGTCTTCATTTCTATCTAATCTAGGAGGTCGGGACATTGCAAGCAAGACAAATAAAATTTTGAAGCAGTTATTTTCAGATAAATTGTCTCAAAACTATAGCTTTTACGGAAAAAGATCAGGAAAAAAACCATTTTCTTCCTTATTGTTGACAAATATTATAATAAGTAAGATAATTGTTTATTATTCTAAATGAAAACGTCTAAGTAATTACAGTCTAAATAATTACAATAATCTTTTTATATGTTAGATTTTAATTGAAAAATATATTAAGACATATTACATTTGTAGTCATTTCATAAATATTAAGCTATTTTGTCATCCCAATTGTTTCAGACACTGTTAAATCTACGACACCAGGTGCGAACAATCAAGCTATTGAAGATTCCATAAAAGTCTGGTTAAAACACGTTCCTCAACGTGTAAAAAAGAAGAATATATAGTTGCATCATGTCTTTAAAGTCATATAGAAAGCATTGCGTTGGAAAACGGCAGATATACAGAAGAATTGCCAATGAAAAGGTAAAATTGTTTAAAGAATTGATTGTGTCCGATTCTCAAGAGCATAATGAAGACACAAATGCAAAACGTACTACAATAACAGATTACAATAGCAGTGAAGAAATAATGTGTAATGACATTTCTGTTGATAACATTAATACTTTTGATGAGTGTACTGAAAATCGAACATCTTTAAATTTAAGTTACGAGTTAGACAATTTAGTTAATGATATAGAGGAGGAAAACACATCTAATTTAAATCTTCGTGAGTTGATTAAACACTGGACTGTTATTAAACATAATATCATTCATTCTGCCTTAACAGATCTTTTACATATTTTGCATAAGTTTCATCCAGAATTACCTTTGAACTCTAAAACTTTGTTACAAACTCCAGTATCTATAAATAAAAAGTAGTTAGATACTGGGGAATACTGTCATATTGGTTTAGTACAGAATTTAGAATATATTTCTAAATTTTATGCTGGATCTACTTTGGAGCTAAGTTTTAATATTGACGGTCTCCCTTTATTTAATAGCACAAACAAATATTTATGGCCTATTTTAGGTCTTGTAAAAAATATGCAAATGGTTCCATTCGTTGTAGGAGTTTTTTATGGTCACTCTAAACCGTCGCCCTTACATTTATAACTTGCAGATTTTATAGAAGAACTATCTTTATTGTTAAAAAGTGGACTTGAAATACATGATAAACACTTTAATATAAAAATTCATAGTTTTATATGTGATGCTCCTGCTCGGGCTTATATGAAACAAATAAAAAATCATAATGGATATTCTTCTTGCGAAAAATGTGAAGAAAGTGGTACATATTTTGAAGGGCGTATTATTTTGAGAAATATTCATGCAAAACGAAGAACAGATGAGTCATTTGTCTTACAACTTGATGAAGAGCATCATATTGGCATTTCGCTCCTTCTCGAACTAAAATGTGGAATGGTAACACAATTTCCACTCGATTACATGCATGCAGTATGTTTGGGTGTTACCAAAGAACTATTACATACTTGGGTCAGTGGTAAACGTAAGGTTAAATTATGTTATCGCTTAATTGATTTAATATCTCAGAAATTAGTTACATTTAGTTCATTTATGCCTTCAGAATTTAATTGAAAACCGCGAAGCTTAACAGAGTTATCTAGATGGAAAGCAACCGAATTTAGAAGTTTTTTAGTTTATTTGGGACCTTGTTTTGATGGATATACTTGACATATCAATTTATGAACATTTTCTCCTATTCCATTCAGTTATATCCATTCTCCTTTTGAAACATAATAATAAATTAGGCTTACTATTAGCGCAGGAATTACTTGAAACTTTTATTAATCACGCAGAAACAATTTATGGCCCTGAGTTTTATGTATACAATGTGCACATACTGTGCCACTTAACAAGTGATATACGACGGTATGGACCTTTAGATAATTGGTCTTGTTTTCCATATGAAAATTATTTGGGTAAATTAAAAAATTTAGTAAAATCATCTCGTAAACTACTTGAACAAGCATGTCGTAGATTACATGAAATATTTTTAAGTAATAATCATTACCAAGGACCAAATAACCCAGTTCTTCAGCATTTTTTAGAACACAATAATGGTCCATTATTAAGTAATATTAATGTTTTTAAACAATTTAAAAAGATTAATAATACTAATTACATTTTATCCATCCAAATTTATAACTACATATGGTGCAACAAAATTAATTCGGAAACAATATATGTCATATGAATCACTTTACTTATATCCATTTGATTCTAAACAATTAAACATTGTTCGTGTAAAGAATTTATGTGAACAATTAGAAGTATGGGATATTGATCATATAAAAGCAAAATGTATTCTTCTACCTCTCAATGATGAAAATTGGGTATGTACTCCTCTTCTTCATATGTAACATTAAGAAGCAATGTTTGTAGTACACATGTTTAATTATTGATAATCTCGTAATTATTTTATTTTTGCGCAATAAACGTAATTGTAATGTTTTTATATTTTATTTCTTTAAGTATATATCTTATTATTGTTTGATAGAACTCTTCAATTTAATTAAAAATTTTAATTATAATAAATACATGTGTTTCAGAACGAATTATTTTATGTTTATAATAATGTTTGATATTCATATTACGTTCCAAAGAATTGTTACGTTAATTTTAACATTGTTAAAATATTTAGTTTTCTGTGCAATAAATAAAAATAAATGTATTCATATGATACCTTTCAGTTCTTACTTACAATTGCAACTGACTCGTAGAATCAATATTGTTTATTTAGATAATATTGAGATAAATATTTAACTTATAAATATTTAACACTTTAAAATATGATTTTTCTTTTCGCTTAGTTCATCGCTGTAAAACTTAATTATATTTAAAACATAAGCCAGAAAATATACATTAAAAATGCTTCCAAAAAATATGGTAAAATAAAACGATATATAAAATAATAATAAATTAAATAAATATCTAATGTTATGTAGACTGATGTTTTAGACATCATTCTGCTATTTGGTTTATTGACCTTTACTGACCGTCAGCTTTACTGACGTACTTAAAGTTCGGTTGCACTAACTTATTTGGTTTTAAGCGAAATTTAACAATTTTAAATTTGTTATACTAAGTAGAAACGTCATCCAAAGTACTATAATTTGCATAAATCGCAATAAGATAAGCGCATATTATAATATTTTCAATGACGTTTTTACTTTAGTATAACGAATTTAAAATTTTTTATTTCTCGCTTATACCCAAAATAACGTTAGTACAACCGAATTTTAGTACATCAATAAAATACCAAATAGAAGAATGTTGTCTAAAACAGTCTAAATAACATATTATTGACGTCGTTAATACGTCATTCTGGAGTATATTATTCACGTCATTGTACGTTTAAAAGTAACGTTTAATTGATGTTACCAAATGACGTCTTTGGTCTGTGACTTAGGACCGTCAAAAAGACGGCATTTGTAGGTTAATTTAAAGAATAAATGACGTAACATCTGACGTAAGAATGACATGATTATGACGAGTGTCTGTTACCTGGGAATTCTTTAATAACAGGAGCTATGATTCCAAAGAACTTAGCTATAAAAGTTATGCCAAAAATATTGTCATTTAAATTAGTTAAGCCTCAAACACCAAATACTTCTGTCGTAACTCACACAACGGACTTAACACAATACTTAACCACAGTGCGTTTGATGAATAAGATGAGTTCTTCCAGTATTCAATTGCATGAAAGTCCTTCCATTATAGCAACAAGCTCTACGCAGCATACAGATACAATTATGAGTTCATTGGATTTTTCGATTATAAACTCAGATTCTTCCACAGTTATGGAAAAGGAACTTATGACAGATAATGAAAAAGAGAATGATTCTGTTTTCAACAGTGATGGTCATTTTATTTGGAGTCATAAAAGCATAATGTTATTTTTCTCAGAATATGAAGAACATGAGAAAAAGTTTCAAAAACGGAAATATCAAAGTAAGGAGGCTATGTTTCAAGCGTTAGCAGAGTCATTCCAAAAGAAAGGTTATATAAATGCTACCAAAAATCATATGAAAAATAAATTTAAATTATTGAAGAAGAAATGGGATATACATATTAAACGGACCACTGGAAAAAACAACTCTGGGAAAGGCACAAAACCTCTTCCATATGAAGAGTAAATTTTATGTTCATTCTGTTTCTTGTATGTGTCATAATTTTAAATGGAATACTTTCAATTGATACTGAGAAAACATGAAAGTTTGAAGATATCTAAAAGATATGTTTTAAATATTTTCTAAGAAATGTAGATATTTTCTAAGAAAAGATATTTTTAAAAAATATTTAAAAGATATCTTTTAGAAATATCTTGAAGATATCTATAATGAGATATCTTTTACATATCTTTAAGATCTCGATGTTTTCTAGATCTTAATATGTCCTTAAATATCTTTCAAATAACTTAAGTATATTTTTCGATATCTAAAATAAAATTTGTAAACGTTTTAAAATATCACGTCTTAAAGTGTAAGATGTTTTTCTACATTTCATCGAAATATATTAAAGATATCTTAACTTGTTGCATAAGATATCGGTAAATATGCAGTATAACGCCCTCATCTTAGATTTTTTTGAAATTTTGAAAATTTGTGTATTTTAATGCGTAGAATTGATTTCTGCAAACGAAAATTGTCGCTCATGTATCGTTTCTTTTTTTAATTAAAAGTTTTATGATGTCGGTAAGTAAGAAAGTGATAAAATTGGTAAACTTTATTGATAAAGCTAGCTCGAATACGTCTAACTTCAGTTATATTCCTAAATAAGTTTACTTTCATCTGTAATCGTAATCTCAAAACCTAAAAATGGGATATTCAGTGGAACAAATTAATAATAATCCTTGGCTTGGAGTTCAAGATATAGTCGGTGATGCAAAATTATGGCCTAAATTTATCAGAAAAATGTTCTGGAATAGAAATTTAACTGATCATAATCGGATAATTTTAGTAAACTTCACATATATAAATGCGATAATTATACAGAATACCTCCCTCACCTCTGATATCGACGAAAAAATATTTCATCGACGCGTTTTTGCAAGGGAAACAACTTTTCTATTTGAAAAAATCGTCGCTCTGCCTTGTAGAGCGAAATATAAATTGTTAAAGTTGATGACAATTTAGATTAGGAAATCTGTCACGGAGGCGACAGATAAATAAAATTCCGGATGGATTTGCAACTTTCCACGCGTAACGAGGACGGGGTGGGTGCGGGAGGGGGGCCGAAGGCCCCCCCGCATCCCCCGTGTGTGTGTGTGTGTGTGTACATATGTTTGAGACATTTTTATTTATTAAACATGAATTTGTAGCTCATGTATTAGTGGTTATTAAAAAAAAATAACCACTAACACATGAGCTACAAATTTATATGTTTAATAAATGAAAATGTCTCAACATATGTATACACACACACACACACACACACACACGGGGGGTGCGAGGGGGGGCTTTCGGCCCCCCTTCCCGCACTCACCCCGTCCTCGTTACGCGTGGAAAGTTGCAAACTCATTCGGAATCTTGCTTCGCATTAAAAAATGTTTTGTCAGATTATTTAGGTTATAACACCCAACTGTGTTAACAACTCAATATAATTGAAGTTTGACGATATAATATAACTGAAGTTAGACGTATTCGAGCTAGCTTTATCAATAAAGTTTACCAATTTTATCACTTTCTTACTTACCGACATCATAAAACTTTTAATTAAAAAAAGAAACGATACATGAGCGACAATTTTCGTTTGCAGAAATCAATTCTACGCATTAAAATACACAAATTTTCAAAATTTCAAAAAAATCTAAGGTGAGGACGTTATACTGCATATGGTATTTACCAAAAACATATATGTTGTTACAGATCTATTGGGCTTGAATTTTATTTGGCCAAATCGTCACTGAACCATTGTGTAAGACATGTTGTTAAAGCTCTTTATGATATAGGAAGTAATTTTATCAAATGGCCATCTGTGGATCGCATAAATGTTATAATGGAGAAGTTTGCAAGAATAGCTGATCAACAAAATGTTATTGGTGCTATTGACTGTACACATATTGAAATTCCAGCACCATATGTAAGTATCTACAACATTATTTTATTTTATTTCCAACTTAATACTTTTTTATTTTCATCATCAAGAAGTTGTATTAATGTTAATATTAGTTATTTATTTTATTATGAAGATAAATGCTCAATCTTATCTGACAAGAAAATACAGACATGCAGTTACACTTCAAGCTGTATGTGATACAGACCCATATTATTTCATTGATTGCTTTGCTAGATATCTTGGGTCAGTAAGTGATATTAGAATTTTCAGAAATTCTGATTTGTGGCAGGCTATTCATAGAAATCGTCGCTTATTCTTTCCAAACGAGGAATTTATTATAGGGGATAAAGCTTGTCCCTTACTGAGTTGGTGCTTAATATCTTTTAAAGATAATGGCCATTTGACACAAGTAAGTATATTTTATAATTCTAAAAACAAATATTAAATTATTCTAACTTAATTTGTTGAAACTATATTGATATTGAATTTTCTGCTCGTTCTCTTTCTCTCTCTCTCTCTCTCTCTCTCTCTCTCTCTCTCTCTCTCTTTCTCTCTCTCTCTCTTTGTGGTACATATATGTGTTTCTTATATTTTTATTGTATATTTTTTTTCTTACAGGTCGAAAACAATTTTAATCATATATTATGTCAAACCAGACAAACAATTGAGCGAGCATTCGCATTATTGAAAGGCCGCTTTAGATGCTTAACCGTTTGACTGCTAAGCAATTCTTGCAAAAACGCACGAAAACTGCGGGACATATTTTGACTTAATGTTGTCAAATAAAACACTCTCATTTAGACAAATATCAATCAATTTTAATAATTCTTTTCGTATTATAAAGAAACAATATTAATTGTGATTGTGAATAAGAAAAAATAAACATTAAATTGTTTTTTTCTTTGAAAATTAAAATTTATAAAAAGATAACTTAAAGTTTATTGATCTTCTCTTATGATCAGCACGTAAAGGATCATTTTGATTAGGGGAAGATCACTGACTCTTACATGAAAAATTTATGTATAACAACTATGTTTTGCCGCACAAATAGCGTGAAGGCCTTTTTTACAACAAGCGCAAATAAGGTGGGATCGCTTGATCCCGCTCCTTCTGTTGCTACACACCGCACATTGTCGTAAGTTACGTCCCGGTAATTTTTCAAGCGCAAATTTTTTGGTTGATGAAGATAGTTGTGTTGACACGCTATTTTTATGATTCATCCACTCCTTTTCGATATCGTCAATAATTTTTGATGTGAATTTGAGCCGGTTCATTTTTTTTTCGGTAGTGTTGGAAACATACAAAATATAAGAGTTCAGCACCATTCTTCCAAATATGTTGAATACTACTTTTTTCCAATATTTTAGGGTTCTTCGCTCGTCTAAATACGCGTATAACATTTTGTCGCACTCGTCCACACCTCCCATGTATTTGTTGTAGTCATCAATCATGCTTGATTTCGTCTTTTCGTATTCAAAATTCCCTTTCTTTTTCTTGATCGTCACACTATTAGTATCCGAGTTGGATGAAATCAATATGACTGGGTTTGGTTTGGACTTTTTGTCCCTGAAAGAGCACATCAATACATTTTCATGTGCCATGTATTTCGCTTCTCCTACGATTGCTTTCTTAGCTTCTGGAGGAATCTCTTTTCTGTTACGTCTAATTGTTCCAGTTAGATATGTATTTTGTTTCAAAAGGGCTTTGGCCAAGCGTAAGCTTGTGTAAAAATTATCTGTAAACAGATGATAGCCTTTATGCAGATAATTTCCAATTGAAAGCAATTTTTGCGCAACCGTAAATCCAAGACCATATTTTTGTACTAAATCTCTGTCATCTGTATTTTTAGCTCCTTTGTAGCAAAAAAAACCCAAGCAATATTTAGAAATCGAGTCGCACAACATCCAAAATTTGATCCCCCATTTATGGTGTTTTTTGTTTGGGATGTATTGTTTTATGGCAGAATGACAGTGAGTACCAACTAACGACTCGTCGATAGATAATTGTTGATTTGGTATATAATGCCGCTGAAATACAGTATTTGCATGTTTGACAAGCATATCAAACCTGCCACATGGGTCATAATTCGGATGGCCTGGTTCAAATAATAACGTATTGTCAATCAAGTGAAAAAAGTTCAAAATCAGTTGAAACCTATCCCTTGAAAACATTGTCCTAAACCATGGTATATGTCGGGAACCTTTTATCCAATAACTATCAATTGTTGGCCTTCTCGTAATCCCCATTTCGAGTAAGACTGCAATAAAGGCTTTTATTTCGTATATTGTTGTCGGCGTCCACTTTTTTGCTCGAGAATTATTCGAAACAGTGTGCGAGGCAAAAAACTGGGTAGCATATCGATTTGTTTCCCTTACGATAGTTTCAAGCAGTGATGTGGTAAAAAATAAATTGAAATATGTTATGGGTGTAGCATCGGGGGAAGGCGTACATCTAGGTCCAGGAGTCTCGAAAAAATTATTTGTTGCTTTGGAAAACACATTTGTCGGAGGAATATTCGTAAAAGTTGGTGTTTCTTCTGTTTCTGAAGATGAAGATGAGATAGAAGACTCACTTTCAATCCTCAGTCTTTTTCTTTGATGAGTTATAATAATGCTATCATCACTATTTGTGTCTGTTCTTTCACCATCCTCAGAATCACTAGCAATCGAATCAACGTCCGAAATAATAGCCCGTGACATGGTTATTTTTTAAAAATAATATATAAAAACGGTAAAAAGTTATTTTAGAATGCACTCGTGTTACAAAGTACGCGTGAGGTCAGATTACGTTCACTTCCACGGAGCAACAAAGACATATTGAAACTCGCAGCGCAAAAGCGCTGCATCGCGGTTTTCGAGACAAATGAACGCAGCGCTTTTGCGCCGCGTAGCAGTGAAACGGTTAAAATATTTGTATATGGCACGCATTGATTTGATACCAGCAACTATATTAGCCTGTTGCGTCCTTCATAACATGTTTAAACTCTGGTGAAGAAATAGAAACTTATCTGATTGAAGAAGAACAAAGAAGGGAACGTGATACAGAGCAAGAAGAGCATCATGGACAAGTTGAAGAACAATACGACAATGACGGTGTAATAAAACGTAATAACATTGCACGAAAGTTATTTAGAGAAAGAGTATAGTAACCTGTGATGTTATCAATATAATTATATTTCAATATATGTTTTTATTTTATATAAAAGAAATTAAATATTACATGCAGAAACTATGTGTATGCTCATATTCAAAACGGTTTGCACACTTTTTATCGAATGAAATTGCTGCGCATCCAGCTGTCAAATATGAGAGCTACTGCTGACATATATGTGCGGTATTCGGTCCTAACAAGAGACGAAAGTGACAGTACACGGTGACCGTAAATATAATGCATGTTATTAATAAAGATAAAGATTAGATTATATACGACGTTGCATATATAAATTTTCTTTTAATTTATTTTAACGTATAATTATAATTAGTAGTATAATCTAAGAAGCAAATTTACAAGCGGGATAATGAAAATAATTTAATAATTTAAAGTTCTTCCGGCGGTGCAAGAAAGAAGTTACATCGGTCTTGAGCGACAACTATGAACGATGTCTTCAATTTCTGCGAGCGTAATTCTGCGGTTGAAAAGTGTTTATTTTAAGGCGACTTTAAGAAGAGTAATCATACTGTAATTAGTCAATTTTTTACTGCTTACGTTTTACTGCATACCCGTACTGCCATAGAATGGATCTCCGATTTCCACGTTTTTTTTTAGTCTGCGTCCTATTGTTGTTCTAGATATAATATCGCGAATTGATGGAAAGCTGTTTTCTCTAATAGAATGAATTATGTTATTATCTACTTCCTCCGTCATTTTCCTCCTCCCGTATTGAATGTCAGGATGTGCCCTTTCGCCTCATATTGTCGCAATATGTTGTAGACTGTGCGTCTCTACAATAGAATGTACTAATAAAAAAAATTAAAAAAAGTTAAAAAAATTTTTTTAAATTAAAAATTAAAAAATTAAAAGTTTAAATTAAAATTTAAAATTATACAGCGTACGAGGTGTATAATTTTAACTTTTAATTTAAACTTTTAATGACATACCAATCGTCAATTTTGTTCAAGACAATTCTGGAGTGCATACAGCGTTGATAGACCTTTAAGGTTGTGAAATTATTTATGATACTTTTTTTGTTTTTTCACAATTACACAACTTCAAAGGTCTATCAACGCTATCGTTATAAAAACTAAATAAAATGCCTGCTCTATTATCGGAGATGAAAAGAAGTCAAATACTGGCATATGCAAATGCAGGTCTTTCGCCTACGAGAATCGCAGGATTATTGAATATCTGTGTAAGTTTATAATGTTATATAATTATAGTTAATAGTACTTTTATTATTATACGCGAAAATAATACGCTTAAATGCTTAAAATATGGTAAAAATAAGATATAATAAGAAATATACATTATTCTTAGGCATACTTGTAAAAAGAATATAGAAAGATAAGATTTATAAAAATTCATATTTTGACAATTAAATTAGTGCATTCTATTGTAGAGACGCACAGTCTACAACATATTGCAACAATATGAGGCGGAAGGGCACATCCAGCCTAACATTCAACACGAGAGAAGGAGGAAAACGACGGAGGAAGAAGATAATAACATAATTGATTCTATTAGAGAAAACGGCTTTCGATCAACTCGCGAAATTAAAGAAAGGTTAAACTTAAACATATCGAGAACAACAATAGGACGCAAATTAAAAGAAAATGGTTATAAGTCTTGTCGTCCTGCGGAAAGGGAAAATGTAACTCCACGACACATGGAGCAAAGGATGGGTTTTGCCTTATATCATTTGGCATGGGAGAATGAATGGATGGATACGATTTTTTCAGATGAAAAAACTTTTCGCACGGATGAATCTGGACGAATGACGTTGTGGAGAACAACGGAGACGAGGTATGATCATCAAAATGTACGTTTCCGTAAAAAATGTGGACGCATTACCTTGGCTTTTTGGGGATGTATTTCCTAGCGTGGTCTTAGACCATTGGTACGTACCACGTCCCGCATGAATAGCAAAGAATACATCAACATATTAGCTAATGTGATGATTCCATATATTGCGGAAACTTTTAATGACATACCAATCGTCAACTTTGTTCAAGGCAACTCTGGAGTGCATACAGCGAGGGTTGTCCGCGATTGGCTGGCTGCACAACCCAACATCAGGACGTTGGAGTGGCCAGCAAAATCGCCCGACCTAAATGTCATTGAAAATCTTTGGGGCATGATAGTCCAATAATGGGATCCACTAACCACACGTTCCCGTGAAATTCTCGAACAACATGTTTTGACTCAATGGGAACGTTTTCGTACCAGGCCGGAATTATTTCAAAATTTAATAAGATCCATGCCCCAAAGATTGAATAGTGTGATTGACAACAACGGAGGTGTCACTCGTTATTAAGTGCACCTCCGAGAATGTATTATGATGTATAAATGTTATATGAATGCGATATGGACAATCCTCGGTGAATGAATGATGAGATTGAATGAACAGAATGAGTGTAGTGTGAAAGGAAGATGAATAAGGCAAAACCCATCGATAAAATTATAAATTTTCAAAATTTTTGTAAAAATGCACACAAACCTCCCGTCATTTTACTTCTCGTTCTTCTACCTCTCGTCAAACTCTTATAAAACTTCTCCAGAAA